ACACACACACACACACACACACACACACACACACACACAAGCCAGAACAGTGGGCTCTAGACATCTCCTGAATGGATATCTTCTGTCTCAAAGACAAATCTACTTGTCTACACTGTGGCCGGAGTCATCATTTAAAAATGCAGATCTGAGCACATTACTAAAGGGCTTCTTGTGAAATACAGAATTAAGACCCAAATCTTAAAAGGCTTACAAGACCCTGTAACACCTACCTTGCCTACCTTTCCAACATTATTCCACGTCATTACCCTTCCCACTCCACACTTCTGGCACTTCCCCAAATTCCTTAATGTGTTAAATACCTACTGTCCCAGGACCATAAGACGAGCTTTCCCCTGCTTCCAATGTTCCCCAGCCCAGTGCCTACCCTCTTCCACCTACCCAATTAAAATTCCCCCTCATTCTTTAACCTCGGTTTAAATTTCACTTCATTAAGGAGGTCCATCCCGGGGCGCCTGGGTGGCGCAGTCAGTTAAGCGTCCGACTTCAGCCAGGTCACGATCTCGCAGTCCGTGAGTTCGAGCCCCGCGTCAGGCTCTGGGCTGATGGCTCGGAGCCTGGAGCCTGTTTCCGATTCTGTGTCTCCCTCTCTCTCTGCCCCTCCCCCGTTCGTGCTCTGTCTCTGTCCCCAAAAAAAAAAAACTTTAAAAAAAAAAAATAAAAAAAAAAAAAAAAAAAAAAAGGAGGTCCATCCCGATCCCGCTTCTACCCTTCCCAGGGCCGACCTGTTCAGATCTCCCATTATAGTAGTGCATGGCTCCCAATACTTTCTCATGGCAGGTAATGCAACGTACTTAAAAATAACTGTCTAATTACTTGTCACTCTTTGCCCCCCTTATTTGATGCAAATCCCACAATGACCAGGAGCAGGTCTATCTTGTTCAACAGCAAATTTACAGTAGGCACTTCATATATTTCAGTTTTACCAACAAATGGGGGGAAATCCAGGCTTCTGGAGGGGTTATAGGGAAACCAAGAATTAGAGACACAGTCACGCGACCAAGTTAAGTTTGGCCCGACTGCACCCAGCTCTTTCAGTCTTCACAGTCTAAGCTTTTGGACACCATGCTATTTCACATGCTGCTTCTTCATCTATTACCTTGAAGCAGAGTGTGCAAAACAGCAGTCTGTGAGCTGCATCCAGCCTGCAGATAGGCTCTATTTGCTTCCCACAAGTGAAGGAAAAGCTGGAGATTTTCACATTAAAAATCTGTATATCCAGCTTCCTTAGGAAAGAAGAAAGACCTCATGGGGTCCTTGTTCCCACACGGTAACTATTGCTCAGAACTGGGAAATGGACACATCCTAGGAATATCTTTATTCTCTACTGTCTCCCCTTCCATTTCACTTATTTGGGATGGTTGCCTGGCCCCTACAGGCATTAGGGTTTGTTATCTCTGCTTGTCAAAAAGACATAAGATGAAAATTGTTCAGTCACTGATGGCTGTGGGGGCATCTAAAATATGGGTTTTCCCTTCCTTACTTGGTCATACGATGTAAATAGTCCTTGGCTTTTACCTTTACAATGATACAGCTTTCATTCCAAATGCCATATATCTATCCTCACTATTTGCAGGGAATTTTGTCAGTCTTACTGGTCACCAGCATAGTAGAGCTCGGCATCTCTGTGACTATCTCCTCCTTCAGAAGCAAGTGCTGGACAACCTCCGATGAGGTGCGTTGGATATTACTGCAAGAATGGGTTCCTGTGGGGACACTGCAAGGTGACCCCCAGCCTATTAGTGGGCAGGGCAGTATTCTCAGATGTTGAACTACAACTTCTGAGGTGAGGCAGGTCAAGGAGAGACAAGCTTAACCAACAGCGATGGCTGGCTCACTCCAGCCTCTGAGGCAGCCATCCTGCCCTCTTTGCTGTCTAGTCATCTCTGTTCAGACATAGCTCCTTCTCTCCCTGCCAGAGTATATGAAGAGAAACAGACTTAATGGGAACCTATATTACTGTGACACGGAGGGCTTCTCCCTGGGCCACAAGGCTGTGTGAGTCAATCCCCTCACCAGAGGAGAGGCAGAGAAGAAAAATATTTAAGAGCCATACTCCTGTTATTTATAATTGTTACAGCTTACATTTACTAAATGTTTACTCTGTCAGTCACTGTTGTAATCACTTAGCACCAACTTAATCCTAACAAAACCATCAAGACTCCCTTCCTTTACATATGAAAAACTAAAACACAAAGAGTAACCTCTCCAGGTTCACAGAACATCAGGATTCTGACTCAAATAATGTGGTTCCAGGGATGCCTGGGTGGCTCAGTCGGCTGAGCCTCTGACTTCAGCTCGGGTCATGATCTCACGGTTTGTGGGTTCAAGACTTGCATTGGGCTCTGTGCTGATGGCTCAGAGCCTGAAGCCTGCTTCAGATTCTGTGTCTCCCTCTCCCTGCCCCTCCCCCTGCTCGTGCCACCTTTCTCTCTCTGTCGGTCTCTCTCTCTCTCTCAAAAGTAAGTGATCATTAAAAAATATTTTTTTAAATAATGTGGTTCCTGAGCCTGCTCTCTAAATCCCAAAAAACAATTCCAGGACCCGTGTTAAGTGGGGTTTTTCCCCCACTTTTCTTTTACATCAACTTTGTAGAAGTATAATTTACTAACAATAAAATGCACCCATTTTAAATGTATGTAATTCAAGGGGTTTTGACAAATTGTACACCCCTGTTTAGCTACCATTATAATCAAGATACAGTGAATTCCTATCACCCTGAAGGAGTCTCTGGAACCTCTTTGCAATCAGTATCTCCATCACCTCGATTAGTTTTTATTTTTTCAAACTTCACATATGTGGATCATAAATAAGTACATTTTGTGTCTAGGCTTCTTTCACTAAGCAGCATATTCATGAGATTCATCCATGTTGTCTCATGTATCAATACTTTGTTCCTTTTACGTGAGGGCACACCACAATTTGCTTATCCGTGTACTTCCTGATGGGCATGTGGTTGCAATGAACATTTGAGTTCACATCTTTGGGTAGACATATGGTGTCATTTCTCTTTTGCATTTCTCAAATCCATGACCTCGTTGCTAGATGGGATGGAAAATGGACGCTTAACTTTGTAAGAAAATATCAAATGGTTCTCCAAAATGGCTGTATCACTTTGCATTCTTATAAGTAATATGAGAGGTATGGCTGCTCTCTATAACCAGCAACACTTGGAATTGCCAGTTGTATTGATAATTTTGTTATTCTAGTGTGTATGTAGTAGAATTTCATTGTAGTTTTAATTTGCATTTCCCTGATGGCAAATGATGATGAGATTCTATGTGTTTATTGTCCTCTTTTTTTTTTTTTGAGATGTGTCTCTTTAAATTGTTAGCCAACTTTTATTGCATTACCCTATTGAATTACAAGAGCTTAAATGATTCTTAACACAAGTCCTCTTTTGAGATATATGTATTGCTACTATTCTTCCCAGCCTTGGCTTGCCTTTTCATTTTCTTAATAGTTTCTTTCACATAGCAACTTGTGATTTATTTTCTTTTATGGTTAGTCCTTTTCGTGTCCCAACAAAGCTTTGCCTACAAGACTGTAAGGATTTTTTTCTCTATTTTCTTGTGGAAATTTTATAGCTTTAGCTTTTGTGTTTAGATCTTTAACAGATGTCAAGTTAACTTTTACACACTATATAGTTCTGAGGTGAGAAGTTCACGCACCCCTGCCATGGAGATATATAGCTATGCCAACGTTATTTGTCAAAAATGCAATGTCTTCCCCCATCACCTTGGCACCTTGGTTGAAAATCAATTGACCTCATATAAATATTTATATTTATATGAGGTCTCATATGACCTCATATTTATATGAGGTCTTTTTGGATGCTCTATTGTGTCCCACTGATCTGCATGTCGATCCTTTCACATATTCCATGCTGTCTTCATTTCTGTAGCTTTCATGTAGTAATCCTTTTTTAGTGGCAAAATATACATAATATACTATTTATCATTTTAGCTACTTACAAGTATACAATTCAATGGCATTAAATTCATTCATAACGATGTGTAACCATCAGCACTATCTATGTCCAAAACTCTTTCCTCATCCCCATACAAACTGCGCCATAAAACATAACTCCCCCTTTCCTCCTCCTTCCAGCCCCTCATACCTTCTAGTTTAGGTCTCTACATCTACTTTCCGTTATCTACTAATGACTCACATTTCGTGAGACCACAAAATGTACGATCATAACCTGAGCTGAAATCAAGAGTCGGATGCTTAACCAACTGAGCCAGCCAGGCGCCCCCATGAAAGGGTTATTTTTTAGTGGCATGGCAATGTGAAAAGTACAAAGAGAATGCAAAGATGTTATGTAATATGCACCCTGATCCCAAGAAGAGGAAAGAGTTATTTATCAAACAGCTTCTCTGTGCAAACCACCGTGCCCCAAACATTATTTTATATAGTCTTCAGTAATAGCCACCCTGGAGTAAGGTGTAACTGAAGTGGTTATTATAAAGCATATATCAGAGATGAGAGGGGAGGGGAGGGGAGAGGGGGAAAGGAGAGGAGAGGAGAGGAGAGGAGAGGAGAGGAGAGGAGAGGAGAGAGAAAAGTGCAGGACCTAGAATTCAACTGCAGTGTATGACTCCTAGCCTCACCAGTTAATAGTTCTGTGACACTAGTCAGGTTACTTAACATCTCTGAATCTCAGCTCTCTCAGTTATAAAACAAGGAAAATAACCTCATATGAATGTCATTAATAATTACTTGAGATGACTTTGGAACTCTGTCCAGCACCTGGCAATCACTGTTGCCATTAGAGAAGAGTACATTTAAAATCATACACTTAAAATCTTGAATAAAGTTAAAGAAATTCCAATTCATGCCTCCAAATCTTTCTTTTAACAAATGAAAAAAAATTACAATTCAAATGAAACAAAAGTTTTAGGGTAAGTGAGAATGCATAAATCTCCCCTAAAGTACTATTTATCCTCACATAAATATCCCTCCAATGGTGATAAAATATAGATGTGAAAACAAATTAGAAGGTGGGGAATGACGATGATCATACAAGAGAATGTGGCAGGCATTTTATTTTAGGCCTGCCATCAATCAGAGAGGTAACCATCATTAGGTCATTTAACCACTCAGAGTTCCAATCACTTCATCAAACAGAACAAGTAGTCTATTCTGACTCTATGGATGACCTTAGAAAGGACACAGGATGGCAAAACTCAGCAGACTGAGGCTGTAATGACAGCCTCTTTCAAAAAAAAAGTAAAGACTGGGAAGCATTGGCTAGAGGTTGTATCAGATGCTGTCACTTAGTTGTTTAAAAAAACTTCAATAGATCTCATTTACCTGTAAAGGAAGGTCCGCATTTCCTGGCCTAGTGTCTTGGTACCTTCAGGCTGCTATAACAAAAATAGCATGGCCTGGGTGGCTCGAACAAGAAAAAGTCCTCAGAATTCTGGTGGCTGGAAGTCCAAGATCAAGAGGCCAGTAGATTCAGGCCTGGTGGATGCCAGATGGTTCACAGATGCCATCTTCTCACTGTGTGCTCACCTGGTGGGAAAGACAAAGGCGCTCTCTGGGTTTCTTTTATAAAAGCACTAATCCCATTCATATAGGCTTCACCCTCATGATTTAATTGCCTCCCAAAGGCCCCAACTCCAAACACCTTCGTGCTGTGGATTAAGTTTCCACTTATAAATTTGGAAGGGGCACACTCAATCTATAGTATTCCATCCCTGCCTGTCCCCCAAATTCATGCCCTTTCACATGAAAAATATATTATTTCCACCCCAACAGCACCGGAAGTCTTTATGTTTCAGCATGAACTTCAAAGGCTAAGTCCAAAGTCTCATCTAAGTATCATCTAAAACAGATAGGAGTGAGACTCAATGTAAGATCCATGCTGAGGCAAATTCCTCTCTAGCTGTGAGCCTATGCAACCAAATGTGTTATGACACCAACCTTCCAAAATACGGTGTTGTGACAGGCATAGGATAGGCATTCCCATTCCAGAAGGGATAAATAAGGGGGGAAAAGGTCAGGTTCCAAGTAAGTCCAAAACCTAACAGGACAAACAGACCTTAAGGCTCAAGAGTGACCCCCTTTGGCTGGATGCTCTGGCTTCCAACCACACGTGGCTCAGCAGGAAGGCCCCACAGGAACTCTCTGCCTGAGCTCTGCCCCTGCAGCAGCTCTCTGCCTGGGCCCTTTGATTCTTCCAGGCTGGAGTCCCATGCCTGTGGCTCTGCTGGGGTGGGGCCCCAAGCCCGTGCTCCGTCGCATGGCAGATTCTGAAACCTCAGTGGGGGTGGTCACACTCCCACGGCTCAGCTGGTTGCAGCCCATGCGGTGGTGCCCACCCTCTGAGACACTGGGAGGGGGCATTCTGGCTTGGCTTGAACCAGAGGGATGGTCCTAGCCTTTGAAATCATTCTTCTTCCAGGGCTCTTACACTGTCAGCCCCTGGTAGGAGTGGCAGCCCCTGAAGCTCTCAGAATCACCTTTGGTGTCATTCTTCCATTGCTTGGAGAATAGGTTCTGGCTATTGTTGAGATGGCTGATCTATACTGGTTTCCTTATCAAACAAGTCACGGCCGTACTCTTAGTGTTCTCATTTTTTTTGCAGAATGGATAGACTTGGTCCTGCTTTCTTTTTGCTTAACAATTCCATTTTTAAGTAATGTCTCTCTTCTCATATTTTACCATTAGCTAGCTATCTGAAGGATTCAAGCTTCACTTTCAACACCTCTTAGGAATAGCTTAGCTAGGGGTGCCTGTATGGCTCAGTTGGTTAAGCATCTGACTCTTGGTTTTGGCTCAGGTCATGATCTCATAGTTCATGGGTTCGAGCCCCATATCAGGCTCACAGAGCCTGCCCGTGATTCTCTCTGCCCCTCCCCCACTTATGTTCTCTGTGTCTTTCTCAAAAAAGAAAGAAAAACTTAAAAAAAATAGCTTCAGCTAAATTTCGTTATTACATAAAATATTTATCATTCATTATTAATAATTACTACATGAAATTCCATCATTTCCTTCACTATTGCAAGTTCTACCTCCCACAAAACATTAGGACACAAACAATTCGGCCATGTTCTTTGCAACTTTATAGCCAAGATCACCTTTCTTCTGGTTTCCAACAACATATTTCTCATTTCTGTCTGACACCTCATCAGGATGACCTTTATTGTCCATATTTCCACGAACATCTCGTTCAGGATTACTTAGGTGTTCTCTAAGAAGACTAAGGCTTTATCTACAGCTCTCCTTTTTTTCTTCCTGGGCTCTCACCAGAATTGCCCTTAATGGTTCATTCATAGCAATATAAGTTTTTTCTAGTATGTAGAACTCAAGCCTCCTCCAGCCTCCAAACATTACCCATTTCCAAATATACTTCCACACTTTTAGACATGTGTTACAGCAGCACTCCCATTTCCTGGCATCAATTTCTATCTTAGTCCATTTGGGCTGCTATACCAAAGACAGAGTGGCTTAAACAACAACAATTTATTATTCATAGTTTTGAAAGCTGGGAAGACCAAGATCAAGGTACTGGTAGATTCAGAGTCTGGTGAGAACCTGTTTCCTGGTTCATAGCTGGTAGTCTCACTGTGTCCTTACATGGAGGGAAGGGCACGGGAGCTCTTTGGGGTTCCCTTTTATAAAAGCACTAATTCCATTTACGAGGGCCCCACCCCCGAACTAATACCTCTCCCAAACATTCTACCTTTAAATACCATCACACTGGAGATTAGGTTTCAATGTAGAAGTTTGAAGGGACACAAACATTCAACTTATAGCAGCTAGCATACCACCCAACAATATCTGTTTATCATCTGCCTTCACACTATGCTGCATCATAGCCTTGTTTTTCTACCCACTGCCTCTTCTACCTGCATTTCACTCCTATCTTACTTCATCTTACCTTTTTGCCAGAGGAATTCCTGTCCACCCATCAAGACATGGATCAAACATTCCTCAATGAAGCAATTTCCTGGCCCTCAGAATTAGGTCATGACTTCTACATTCCCATAAAGCACTTAGCACCTATTTCTATAATAGCATTTGCTAAACTGTATTACTGTCTATTTATATCTTGGTATACCTGTAATTGTGAGCACCTTATAGACAACGCCCACATCCAATTAGTTTTGATCTTCACCTAGCAGGTGAACAGTAAATCATTATAAAACTGAATATATGAATGCTGAGAAGATTATTTTAAATTTCTTAGAAGCTTCATAATATTAAGTATGGGAAGAATATTTCAATCTTAACCAAATTCCCCTTTTCGATATTTGAGGTAATAGTGATAAATAGTGATAAAACCAGTGAGTCGATGGTAAAGACAATGTTAGTACTGGTATTTGTTTTCTAACTCCTTGTGTAGATGTTGTGTCCTCCCTACTGTCTTAAGGCAGAGGCAAAAAATAATTTGGGAATACAAGAAGAAAAGAACATCCAAGGTGATTGATTATTCCATTAATGTTTTCTATACCCCTTGGTTTTATAGATTGTATTTTTCTTGCCTTTGGATGTTACTCAAGAGAGTGAACGTTCTGTCCCTGAAGAAAATACTGCAGTACAATTTGAGCTTCAAGAACAGTCCTCCACTGCTGATTCAACAACAAACATACAACCTGTTTTCATTGGAGGCTATACTTTCTTCAAGTTAAGAGTCACAAGAAATCCTTTAGCCTTCAGACATTCAAGGAGGAGAAACAGTAAAACTTACTACACATCTTCTGTGTCTATGCTAGATGAACAACAGAAAAGTATTTCTCCACCTTCACAAGTTTATGAGGAAAGACCTAAGCTGAAACCTTTGCTTCCCACATTGCTGGAAAGGTCCACAGAAAACATCCCATATGCCAAACAACTGAAAGATGAAGACCTAAAAGCTGCTATTGCACAACGCCCAGAAAATCAAACCCAACTTCTGCAGTCCCGCGCTTTGCCACTCCAAGTTTTCCCATCCAGTTACATAAAAAAACTCCAAATGTTACCACCCCAGGCTCTGCCAGTCCTGGCATCTCAAGCCCCAACATACCAGGACACACAGTCTCAAGGCCTGACATCAGAAGACATGCCATACCAAGACATATCATCCCAAGAATCACAATACCAGAGCATGCCATCCCAAGATACACAAGCCCTAGACATGCCATATCAATATGCACCATCCCAAAACACACCATCCCAGAACACATTAGCCCAAGACATGCCATCTAAAAATATATTATCCCAAGACATGGTATCCCAAAAGCCGCCATCTGAAGGTATACTTTACCAAGATCTGCATTCCCAACTACAAGCTCTGCCAGCACAATCCATGCTACTTGCAGCCCCAGCATTTCATGCAGCCCAGTCCTCTAATATACAACGCCTAGATCAGCAAGCCCTAGATCTTCAACATCGAAACCAGCAACTTGCACGTGTATCGTACCAAGACATGCAATCAGAAGTCATGTTACTGACCCAAGAATGGAAATCTCAGGAGGAATTCCAGAGCAGGAAATCCACAAAGTGGCAATTCCTAGACTGGCAAAATGAGAACCTGCAATCCCGAAAGTCACATGATTTATACAGGCAAAACAAAGGCTGGCAAACTCCAAAACAGAAATCCCAGGACTTGCAAATGCAAGGCCAGCAATCCCCAAGAAAGAAATCCCTAGACCAGCACATCAAGGACTGGCTATCCCCAAAGAGGCACTCCATAGATAAGCAAACCCAAGTTAAGCAAACCAGACAGAAGTCCTCAGGTCAGCGAACTAAAGACCAGCTGCTGGTCTTAGAGGAACAATCCCTAAGGCAGCGATCCCCAAGTGGACAACGTAAATATCAAGAGGACAAAGAGGAAAAATCCCCAAAGGAACAGCCCAAAGATAGACAAGATAAAGCTCAACAGACTGATATGGAGAAATCCCCCAAGAAGCAAACCCAACAGGAGCACACTAAAGATCTGCAAGTCCGAGAGGAGAAATCCCCAAAGGAACAACCCAAAGACAGAAAAGATAAAGCTCAACAGACTGATATGGAGACATCCCCCAAGAAACAACCCCAGTATGAGGAGGTTGAAAACCTGCAGGCCCAAGAGGAGAAATCCCTGAAGCAGCTACATCAAAACTGGCAATCCCAAATCCAGGAATACCAAGCTTGGCAATCTTCAAGCCAACAATTCCAAGACCGGAGAATTCAAGGCTGGAGAAACAAAGAGTGGAAAGCACAAGAATTGGCACTTGAAATGCCACATTCCCTGAGGTGGGAATCCCAAGCCTGGCAAATCCAAGATCTACTAGAGCAAGAGTCCCTAAAGCAGAAAGCTCTATACCAAGAAGCCCAAAATGTGCACGTCATAACTCGACGTCAGCAATTACAAAGCATTCCATTCAACGACAGTCAGTATCAAGATGAGGAACAAGACCTTAAATCCACAGATATCCAAAAAGAAGGTATGCAAACAGAAACCGTGCAAATAAGAGACAACAAACCAGAAAGCATGAAATACCAAAACCTACACAACCAGCAGTCAGAAGACAAAAATCCAGATTGTTGTTTCTCCTGCCAAAGCTCAGTACAAGACACAAATTTGGCCTATCTGTCTGATATAAATTCAGAACAAGATGTGCAAAAAAACATTTCAATTTGCTCAGCTTCATACCAAGATGATATGACTTTAACTTCTACCTCATGTTCCCTAAAAGACCAACAGCAATCTGAGGACTCTGACTAACATGGAAAATCTACCCAAATGCCACAATGCTCCCAAGCATGCAACCAAAATAAGGAAAAACAATATAGTCTCCTCCAACCTATGTTCTCAAGTCTGGTTGCTACCTATTCACTCGCCAGAAAACAAAGGGCCTGCAAAACACTCAAAGGATTTGCCCTTAACTAAAATAAAATGACAACAAACATTAACACCATAGTAGAATTTTCTGGGTTTGAAGGAGTAACTCACATTTAAACTTTGTTGTCGGTGTTAGTCTTTCAACTTATGATCGCCAACTCATTTTACAGCTTAATACATTTTTACTGAAGTATAGTTGACATACAATACTGGCTGCAGGTGGACATCATAGTGATCTGACAATTCTATACATTATGAAATGCTCACCACAGCCAAGTGTGGTCACCACCTATCACCATGCAAAGTTATTACAATATTATTGACTATATTCCCTCTGCTGTACTTTTCACCCCCACGTCTTATTTATTTCAAAACCAGAAGTTTGTACCTCTTAATCCCCTTCACCTATTTCTCACACCACCCACCTCAACCACCGGTTTCTTCTCTATGAGTCTATTTCTGTTTTACACCTTAATACTTAATGGACCTGCTTTTCTATGGCGCTAATATTCCTCGCCTCTCACTCTGTGTATTACAGGGGCTCAGTAAGTCAACCAGAAAGAAGTCTGTGTAGGCTCTCAAAAGGTGCAAGAACCAAAAGAGTCTGTGGGAAATAAAAATCAATCCCACCACTCCCCTGGTTTGCCGATTCCAATCACCCACTTTACTCCCTGCTCTGCAAATCTACGTGGAGGATATATACTCTAAGTTTGCCCAGTTATTAACGAGGTATAATGTGGCAATGAGTACAGAAGTAGTGGACAGGGAGAGAACAAACGTACTTAGAGACAGAGAAGTAGGAGGCAGGGGAGGGCAGGGATGCAGATGTCAAAAGAGAAAGTAGGACAGACTGTGATACACTGAGCAAACTTCTACTCCCCTCCATATGCTTACACTCACTTCTAACTCACTACACTCACACATCTAATTTCATCCTCAGTGGTCAAAGAAAATTGACCTTTGACGGTCAAATTTTCTGGTGAAAAGCCATCAGTTACCCTGTATCCTCCAAGCTTAATAACATTTTTTCAATCCTCTTTCTCCTCAACTTCTCTGATACATTTGGACCTGGTAACCCTCCTTTCTCTTCATCTCGCTTGTTGGCTTCTGTATTTTTCTTCCCATTTCAAAAAGTCTAAGATAAGTATTTGCAGGGATCTCTCTCCAACCTCCTTCTTTTTTGAAATCTCACACTCTTTTAGTTCTCTCACATCCTTGTGAGTCACCCCATACTGGGTCATATCTGTGTCTTCAGAAGAATCCCACACAAAAACTTGTTTTCAAGTCTTTTTCAAACGCATTCAGTCATTTTTTAAAAACATAAACTCTCCACTTAGAGGTGAGTGAAGTTATATGCAGTAGAATAATGAGGCATAGAGCCAGAGACACTGGTAATCTGCTCCTTGTTGCCTTTGCCTCTGTAGTAAGGATTAGCCTCCTGAGCTTCCCAAGTTGGTTCAACCTTGGTCAGGTCCCTACCTGAGTTGGCCTCCAGTTCCTAAATGGTTGCCACTTTGTATTCAACTGGCTCTGGAGAAGAATCCAACATGGCAGAGAAGTAGGGGGACCTGAACTCATCCCTCAAACACAGCCAGAGGATTTGTAATTCCAAGAGTCTGGGCTGCAGAGTGACAGAGACGTCTCCAGGGGCCCACAGGGACAACCTGGTGGGCCACAGGTGCATGACTGTGAACTGGGGGAGATAAAATGGGCAGCGTAGGCACAGAGGGGAGTGATCCCCTTCTGTGGGGAGAGAAAGGGAAGAGAAAGAGAGGCTGTGGAAGGGTAGGATTGTATTCAACTGACTCTGAGTAATACTAATAAATCCCCCTTTTGCTTCAGCTAGATTAGCACATGTTTACATGGTGCTTATGTGATGTGTTTCAGTCCACAAACTTGGGTGTGGACTGAAATATTTGTAATTCTTCATCATATTCTTTAAGAATCCAATCCCTGCAGTCAGTTCTGCATTTTTCTCCATACCCATCCAACAAAGTCACACACACACATTGATGCACCATGTACCATAAGGTCTTGGGGTCTTAAAATAGTGCAAGTCCTTGGAGAGGTGATTCCTGTGGCTAGTCCACACCACTTACCACTGAGAAACTCATTGCTTTGGTTCATATTAGACCCTAAGTGTCCTGTGAATTTGATGCTTCTGTACCACACCTGGAATACAGGATCTTTTTCCAAAATTGCAAAAATACAGTGTCTAGGGTCTGGACTTACAATGTAAAAATGTAAGAAAGATAAAAACCATCTTCTGAGAGGTTTTTCCGTCCCACTGAGAATGATCTAGGGAGCAAGTCAGAGGTCCCTAAAGCCCCCTGGGGCCCACAGCAACTTTCCAATCTGCAAGAATTCCACTTTTCTCTGCTTTTCAAAGGCAATCTCTCCCTCAGCTCCCCTTTTTGAGGTACCTTGTACTGTCCCATCAATGAGTTTGAGTCTAGAGCTGACAAAATCAAATGTGTTTAGGAGCCAACAAAGGAATGTAAATGTGTGAAGGAGCTGTTTATAAGACCAGGTGAAAGGGCTATAGGGAGCCAGAGCACTGATGATTTACTTAAAGGAAATCTAATTTTTTTTTGTAACTGTCTTACTAAACCTAAACCTTACTAAACCTAACCTAGGTTAGGTTTTCATAAAATTGGAAGAGTTGATTTTCTTTTTAATATGAAATTTATTGTCAAATTGGTTTCCATACAACACCCAGTGCTCATCCCAACAGGTGCCCTCTTCAATACCCATC